AAAAAAAAATTAGGATATCAAGGATAAAGAGCCTTGGGTGTTCTTAATGGATCTACTATTTTATGACTTGAGTGGGATTGTGGTCTCAATTTACTAGTGTCTTTGGTGTGGACTTCTTTTATAAAGATAAATTACTGTAGTTAATACAATAGTTTAAGGGATCAATCAGAAGCTGCAACTACTTAGAAATTATGGTTTAGCAGTGATGTTAGTGTTTTCGGAATTTCTATTTCCAAAAACATCATTGCAATAATTTTGAAAACATGAAATGGAGACATCTAAAGTCATGAAACTCCAGTCTTTCTAGGCACCATTGTCAAGAAAGAAACTGCCACAAAGCTCATTCTTGTCTTAAAAAAAAAAAAATCTGATATAAAATAACTCACAGAAATCTATTGTAAAATTTCAACTCAGAAAAATCCCCTCAAACACAACGTTGGTAAAAAGGTATCGGGAAAATGTTAATTGAATAGCCTTTGTTTTTATTTTTATAATACAAAACAGATTATTTCCTTTACCAATTTTGCTAAAAAACCAAAATCCATGCTGTTTCTCAGAACTTCTTTACCCCCAAACAAACTAAATATGGGTTTTATCTAGCATGCAAGTCTGACTGTCCTACTACTATCAAACTGCATTATCATCTTAGTAAGCACATTTATGTTTTCTATAGAGCTCCTCCACATCATTATAAAACCAATCCAAATTGATTAAACTTGATCTTTAACATTAGAATTTTTTTAAACATGTATCTTTGCCAAAGTAAACTATAATTTATTCACTCTTTGTTAGATGATCTAATTGTCATGATAGCTAGACTGTAGATAAAAGATCCATCTGAAATTCTTCCTTTTTAGAGTTCAGGATTTATACCTGTCTTGCTATTAAAATTCATTTTATAAACGTAAGCTCTATCTAAGAACCAGAGCAAACAAATACTTTTTAGAATTTCTTATAGAGTGCTACATTTGCTTTTGTGTTATACAGGTGAGTTGATGTGGTTAATGTTTAATAACTACTCCTGATGCAGGGTCTCTCTCTCTATGTCTGGGTATTAAATAATATCTCACAGATTGGGAACGTACATTATGTGATGAGTTCTGCTTGTTCACCATTTGGCAGCTCCTGTTCCTCAAGGAAAAGAGAGCAAAAAACAGACCCAGAGAATCTCTTTAGTCAGCTCTTTTATAATTGTACCTAGTCCAATACTCACATTTCAAAGCTGTCTAGAATCACTAGTTTTTATTGGCTTTTAGAATATGCATATGAGCTTATAGATGAAAATGCTTGTAACATATGTATACATTGGGTGGGTATCTGTTCTCCTTCGTCTTGTCAATTGGGCTAAGTGTGATTATATACATACATGCCCATTACACAAATCTGAGTTTCATCTCTGACTTTCCTCTCTTGTTGTTTGTGGGTGAACTTACTTGACCATGTAATATCAATTTCACAATTATGTTATTTGATATGCATTCTGTTACCATCTTAGATTTCTGCCAGTATAATACATAAGTTTAAAATGAGTACTTAAAGGAATAATAAATATGTGTCTAATATTGACCTTATGTTTTTCCTGATTATTTTCCCTGGTTCTTCAGTTAAAAATAAGTAAACATGCTATTCATTAAGGTGTAAAACTAGCATATTTTCTTTTGAAACAATGCATTTTACAATGTGTACTTCAAAAGTAACTACGTTAAAATTATAATGCCTACTCTAATGAGCAACCTAATTCATAGTTAGAAACAGCAAAAGTTTTCCTTTTTTAATGCAATCAATATTCCCAATGACAAGAGTACATTTATTACAAAACATTAGACACACAAATATTAAATGAAAAAAATGGCTACAAATGGACTTGGATTGGCGACAAGTCCCATTCCTAAATCATCTTTTCACTGATTCCACAACATTTTTATCTGTCTAAGTTAATAGTTCCCATTGTCAATAAATATGGATAGCAAATAATTATCATGATATAATTGTATTATTTCATCTGAAAGCTACCTTTTGAGTTCCTCCAGTTCCCTTTTTAGGAAACATAACATGAACAATTCATTCACTCACAACACCTATGTATTTCCCACATCTACAAATAGAGTATTCAAAAAATGCTTGTTGTCGATGGTGACAGTAACTCATATGACAGACTTGGGATATTTTCTGCTCATAATCAATAGCCAATTTAATAATGTTTTCCTTTGTCAATAACGCTTCTTGTTTTCTTATGGCAAAAGAAAAAAACCAATGGATTGGTTTATTATTTTTGATATATGTTGCAGATTTTTAAATGATTCCCATTTAAACCTAATTTTACAATTTACTACCTCTTATACAGTTTAGCCAGTAAAAATTATCTGGTAGCTGGTAAAATGCCAAAGAATAATCTCATAACGATGATTGAAATGGAGTCTTAGACCATATGACTCTAGCTTTATTTAACAGCTCTCAATTGGAAACATCTAATTTAAACTTTTCTTTTTCTTGGTGGTGACTTCATAGTAGATTTGCCAAGCAACTATTTCAATATGGTCTTTGAAACATATTCTATTTAGGTTACCATTGGGTTAAAAGAAATAAATGATTATAACAATTTAATTCTAACCCAATGATGTTTATAAAACAAAAATTATCAGGCTGAACTTCCTGTTATTTTAGATATTGTCATACTAAGTTACAAGATTAATAACCTAATTTTATTAAGTGCAAAATATGTTCCGTGATATTTTCATGATCTTTATCTTACAGTTAGTGTTATTAAAGTCAACCTTACAGTATAGTCCTCCATAATGTCACAAAGAAGCAGTTTCCAGCAGTGATATTTTTAAACTTTTTCACATATACAAAAGAAAAGAAGAATATTTTGATTAATCTAAAAGTAAGGGTTCTCATTTACAATTAGGCAAATCAACAGAAAATACATAAACAGATAAGCTCACATCAATATCATACATACATATGTCTACCTACTATTTCAAATGAAACATACAACATTTCACTTCCAATTTCTGCAAAATTCACAAGGTATTCTTGATTAGCTCAAAACTTTCTATAAATGTACCTACTATGACGGGAAAGAAAAAGTGTAAAGAACAGCAAGCAATAAATAAGTACTTAGTTTTTAAATCATTCAATCACACTAAGAAAGCTGGAGCATTTATTTCTAACCAAAGAAAGTAGCACTAAAAGAAAGTAGTACTGAAAATGACCTCGTTCTGCATCTTACTTATATTTGTGCATTACCTTTCACCACATCAACAAACAGGCCACAAGGGTCTACTGCAGTTCACTGTTATTTTTATTCTTCAGGCTTCACTGATACTTTAGTGCTCTCAATGAAGGACAAGAAAATCTTTACAACATACCTGATCATTTATCTGGCATGCAACAAGGTTGTGCTGATCATAACAGCCAGCAAACCTGATGTACTTGAGCCAGCTTCCTACGTCTGGTTGACTGGCATCTATGCAGAACTTCACATTGCAAAACTCATCTAAGATCTGGAAGGAAGAAGATGAGAACAATCAGTTGACATATCAGTCCATTCATTAAAATGGTTAGTTGCTTGAAAATACTTCATTGAAATGTATATTTCTCCTCTGAATCCTTAAAAGAAAAAAAGTCAGAGAGCAGGCATATTAATAAAAGAGGAATAATAAGTTATCTTGAAAATGTCAATGAACTGCTTTTTTTTTAAAGGAATAAAGGAATTGTAACATCACAAAAACTGATTAATTGGTTTCAAAAAATGCTTGTTTTCTTATTATGATGAATGAATGCTATTGACTTAATCTTATCCAATGTGGTCTTTATAAAAAAATAATGTTGAACAGTATATATTAATATAATATTTCTAAACTAAACAGTCAATATTTAGGTTTGGATAGTCTTCTCATGTAAGTGTATATTTTCACGTTTTTGCACTTCAAATTAATTCAATTAAAAACTTTAAATATTATTAAATTCCTTTTCCTAGTTTACATTTCATCACCATGAAACAATTAAATCATACCCTTAACTGAAGGAGACAGTAAGATTTTACTTACAGACACTTTTAACCAAACTAAAGGAAAACAAATTTAAATAATCAATAGGTAAACACTTATGCAAAGTATGGCAACCTTTAGTTAACACATGCCAATGCATGTTTCAATATTACACACAGTAAGTCAAACAACAAAACTGGCTTCTTACAGACAAGTAGAAAGAGGTTAAAAATATTGTAATATATTGCCATTATTACATACAGTTGTGTATTGTTATTTTTTTCATGAGATTTTACATTTGGCCTATCCTAACTATTAATCTTTACTTAACATGCTCATTAAACAAAAATTGAAGAGGTAAACTTCCATTTTTAAGGTTTTGCATACTCAAACCAAGCAATTCTGATTCACTAACAGCAATAATTTCTTAAACATCAATATTAAAAGCTGCAGAGTTGTTGACCTAATGCTGAATAACTAAAAAGGCTGGTAATGTAATGTCAATCTGTTAATGCAAACTTGAGGAAGTTTCCTATGAAAGACTAAACAATATAGTCTAAGACAAAAATTAATAAATTAAATAACCCCTACAGAACTTTGCTGTATCTATACCTACCTAAAAGTTAAAACTAAACTCTTGGGTATTTAGACCAAAAGCAATTTTGCATAGAATTCAGGTAATCACCCAACTGCAGATTCAAGTCATTAACTCACCATAAACTTCAGGAAGAACCCAGTGCTTTGAGGGCTCTGCTCAAGAAGCACTATGAATAAGCCTGTGGCCATGAGGTAATTGAAGGACAGTAAGTAGTTCCACAATTTAAAAAAAGAAAAATTGAAACAGAAGATAGGGATAGTAATTGCTAAACACATACAAACTAAAGTCTTTTTTTTTCAAGGATACCTATTCACACTAACAACAACAAAAAAGTCTACACTTAAATATCTTCTCTAATATAGGACAAATTTTAACAATTTGTTATTTATAAAATTACAAACTTTAGGATGTTTTGTAAACTCTCAACGCTGAATAACTCAAAGGGCAACCTGAGATTTTCCCTCCTTCCCTGATGTCCAGAAGGCACATAAATAACAATAGCAATGCACATTTTAAAATAGTAAAACTTGAGGTTGTTGGGTTTTGTTTTTTTGGTTTGTTTGATTTCTGGTTGAACTTTTGTTGTTTATTTTCTTGACAAGCAAAGAAAAAAATTTTTAAAGGCAGTTCTACTGACACACCAGAGAAATATTTAATGAAGGAAATAGGGTGAAGCCAGTGAAATGCAACACAAGTTCCATTTCATACTTGCAGAAAGCTGTGGGAAACTTGTTAATTTCAAAGTCAAAAGCATCTATCCCCTTAGCTTTCAAGCATTCCCTTTTGCGGGGGCAGGCAGTTAGTATTACATATTCTGCACATAAAAATTCTAGGTGTAATTTTATTCCGTGTTAACATTATTGCCATTGCCACTGTCAACAGCAAAGTTAATTTTTTAAAAGTTCATTTCCAAGGAATGTCTTTTAACATAACTTGTTACATGATTATTCAAAGATTTTCACCATCCTATTAACTTTCCTACTCTCAACATTCTTGCCCCAAGACAAAAGCCTAACTTTCTCCAGAAATGTTTCCCCCCCGGGGTGAATTATTCATTTCTGATTTGCTAGTAGAACTGCATTTGTCTCCCAAATGTCTT